TGAGGTGATATTTCTTTAAGGACTAATATATTCGATAGAATATATGACCCGCACTTTTTGCTAAAAAATGAGAGAAGAAGAAATATTTCTGGGCTTTCCTGTGCAGAGTTGTGGCATCTAGGAAGAGAATGTTTACCCAGGCGCCAATGACTATAATATTATTGTCGCACCTGACTTCATAATATGGTAATATTAAATGTAAATAGGAGGGGGTGCTATAGCGATTTTCCAAGCGTAGCTCGGACGTGGCACAAGGCTGGACGTATGGGGCACCCAGTGAGGATCGAACACACTACTCAGGTGTAATTGATCTAACGAGACAAGGTTGCTAACCATTACACCACTTCGAGGTACCCAAAGCAGGGATGTTATATGCCATCAAATATGGTTGTTTTGTTTATTTTTTTAGCGTCATATCAACTTCTATGGATTATTTTATGCCGAAATCTAAATATTTTGAATGCAGTGGTATGCCTTCAATTACAGATAAAATGTATTTTGGTAATTTTACTATATATAATATGTATTGTTGGTAATTTTTTTAATATAAAATGTATAGCTGGTATTTTTACAATAAGAATGTATTTTTATACTGTCATAGTGTTTTGTTTGGGGTTAAACCCATAACAGGGACCCTAAAGGGTGCTACCACCCCGTGTCAGGGGTGGACCTTGTAACAACAGAAATTAAAAGGTGGCTCCACGATCTTCAAAACCTTCAATCTCCCGATCAGATGTCTTGCTGCCGGATGTAGTTTATCGTCATGCCCAGGGCTATCAAATATGTCACCTTTCGAATAAATGTATTTATGAGTACATAATAATTATTCATTTAACATATGTGTTGAATAAAAGTATCAGAGTTTAAGTTTGGATAACCCTGTAAATTGGGTGAACATCCAACAACTTTCCGTAACATGCTGTCTGTAATCAATTCAGGTGTAATATTTCTTAACTAGTGTTCATGCACAAAATGATATTTTAGACGTGCGCCGGCCATAAACTAAACCGTCAGGACGTCTTGGCAAACGCGTGCCAGGATGAAGAAAGGGTGGCGGTGTCGATGTCGCTAGAAGGTTGACAATTAATGTAACGCGAACTTAATAAATGGGAAAGGACAACTGGCGAATAATTGGCCGAAGAATAAGTGTTAATCCCTTTTTAAAGATCATGAATTCAGGCAATATTTGTTGATTGTATTTTCATGAGAAATGAAAAGAAAATGAACGCTAAATGCACAAATGACGACAACTATAATTGAAATGAAAGAAGAAGAAGAAGAAGAAGAAGAAGAAGAAGACGCATTGAACTAATGCAAAATATTATTCTAGCTCTCCTTTAAATACTCGTAGGAACTAATAATAGGATTTATTCTGATTAAATTATTTGTAAACTCAACCTTATTTATAATTAATTATCTTCTTATCTTGTGAAATTATAATTTTACTATATAATACGTTAATTAGTTTTCTGTCTGCCATATCAGTAACATTTTGCTCTAGGGCAGTGGCAATCATATATATATATATATATATATATATATATATATATATATATATATATATATATATATATATATATATTTACGAGGTGCTGCTGAAAGGTTTTTGGCATGACTCACCTTCCAAATAACCAAACAAAAGAAATTTGATTGGGCCAAGAACTTTACTCATATATTTATGTGAAAACGTTCTAATAATAGTAAGGGCATAAAATGCGCTACCATTTTTAACGGAATGGATAAACTAGTAGATATATAAATTATTATCTATTTAATTTATTAATAAAGCAGTTATTAAAGCAAAGGTTATTTTACAAGAGAAAATTCTAAGAGAAGTGTATAAAAATAAGGCAGAATATATCGAGAAATGATTCAAAGATCAAATATGCCACTGATTTTTCGACTGACGGAGAGGAGATTTCTTTTCAACAAGAAACGTCACCTCTTTATTTTTAGGTATTTAGTAAACTAAGTTTAATCATACACAAAACCAAATTGGTAGTGGGTCATTATGGTGGTTAAATACAGTGTTGCTCCAATCGTTCAAATAAAGAAATTTGAAATTCTTTCATTTTAACCTAAGCTTAAACAGAATATATGAGAGGGGTGAAGAGGGTACATCGTACCTAGGCCCGGAGGTTCAAACTGGTCTTGGGAGCCAAAAAGTGTTCCGGTATTTCTTGCGATCTCAGAAAATGCTTTTACATATTGAAGACTAATATTTCTGTGACTGTGATACAATTCATAGCATAAAACTGTAGTGTAAAAGTAGGATGACTAAAGAGAAGAGATCCGAAAAAGGTTTCGAGTCATGATAAAGGCCCTGAGGTTGATTATTGGCCTCTGGTATGACTAACTTGCAATAAGCAACTATTTCAATCACCAGACAGACCACACACACGAATATTTATTTCGGAGAGACGATAAATAGGCAACCTTTCAAGACAGCTAATACGCTTGGCCAATTACTGACTGGAATCGAAATGAATTGTTACACAGTTCAAAACGTATCTTAACCAATAGTTGAAACGTATTCTCTTGATAATACGAAATAAGTTTGTCTGTACGAAGAAGATATGTTGCACATTTTGGGCATCTTTAAATATATAAATTTTGCGCATTCTTTTACTAAACGTACTTATAGTATCGTTCAAAAAAGAAATATGATTTTCTGAAATTTTATTTGATGTAGATTTACTGATTTAAAGTTCAATTAATTTGATTTGAAACAAATACTATTTACTTTAAGTTTAAAATATCGCAGAAAAGCATCTTAACACGGAGGTGGGTGTTTTTATGAAGTGTTGATAACACTTTCGATGGAGTTATGTTTGGCAATACGGGGGGACATAGGTGTAACATTTACTTTATGAAGATAACGTGAACGCCTTTTTTATATAATTTTCCAATTTTGGGAAAATATTCTAAGTAATCTAATATTTTATTGAATTTTAGGTACTTACGAAGACGCTTATTGAGGAGATGTTAGAAAATTACCAATAAATTTTAAATTTACTATAGTTACATCACTTATTTTCTGATAATGTCGTGTACAGACGTCCGTATTTAAAAAAACCGGTACGTTTACACACACACACACACACACACACACACACACACACACACACACACACACACACACACACACACACACACACACACACACACACTGTACTCCTGTTTAAAATAAATGTGACGAGAGTGAACTGGACGACAAAAGAAACTATCTATTCCTGTTAAGGAAAAGTAAAATGGATAAATAAACAATTAGTAAATAAAATTTCCGAGTATAAGCAGAGACGTTAGAAGTATAGAGTTGAAGTAGAATCCCAACCATAAACAGGAAATAAGACCGGAAAGGCGTGTGAACCGAGCTTAAAAGACCGGAAAGGCGTGTGAACCGAGCGATAGACGAACCTATCTACTCTTACTGAGGAGAAGAAAAATAAATAAATAATTAATTAGTAAATAAAATTTCAGAATTGTTGTAAGCTTTTCTATTTATTATTAGTAAATATAGTTTTTACTTAATAACAATATCACCTAACCGCTACAAATTAATACAAAATTTTAAAAACTTTATAAATTATTTTAAATAAAATTAAAAGAAATTGAACACAATTCTTGTAAAAATTCATTATTCTTCAAAGTTTTTTCTTAAGACAATAGTATCCATAAAATATCGTATTCATAAAAGCTATTAAAAACTTTCCTAATTAAATGATGTCTTAGTTTAACTGCATTTTTTATTTTACGATTTAGCTTTTCTGTAACTGGCGATCCTGTTTAACAAACAAAAATTGATGATTTAAATTCTCCAAGGACTTGTGCTTATAACTAATACAAATAAACCTTACAAAAATGAATTTCTCGAAATTTTATAAAATAAAATAAATGGAGTAGGGGTGTGGTAACAGATATAAAAAATATTTTTACCAAATGTTTTTTAAAAAAGAAACGTTTTTAAGGATAATTTCATTAATTTGTGAATAAGTCCAGGAAGTTTCATTAAAATCCGATAATTATTTAATTTTTGCAAGAATTTCCAAATCAATGTGTTTTGCAGGACAAAAAACGCTAAATATTCACATACTAATTTATGGTCACCAGTTGATGCAAGAAAAACAAAATTTTTAGCAAAAAATTTGCAGGTTCTAAAATGTATTAAAAAATATAATTTAATGATAAAAATTCTTTGGGTTTTCCTCTTAATAATAACATAAATATTTTGACATTTTTATATGACAGTGAAAAGTGGAAAATCTCACAGATGAAGCAAAAGACTACGGAAGGATGCCGAGGATGCTATAAAGTTAACATATGAGCAACGACACAATTTTAGAGAAAATGGAAATAAAAAGGAAATGTTTTAAAAAATCATTTCACTGCAAGCAAGGCGATAATGCCACTAAGAAGCAAGGTGTTACTCGGAGTGAGAGAGAATGAGAAGACTTTAGGAGAAGGAAACGGAAACCGAATCCTAAACAAAGGTACATCTCTACTCCTGTTCAAAAGATTGGGAAGGAGGGTGAAACATGAGATAGCCAAATCTATCTACTTAATATCAGGAAGAGACAGTTGAAATTTCTAGGGCACATAATGAGGAAAGAGGGTTTGGAAAATCTTATACTCACAGGATAGACTGAAGGCAAGTATGCCAGAAAAAAACAACGCATAGCCTACTTAGTAAATGGATGACGGAACAAGGTTTAGGAGAAATAACAAAAAGAGCTATGATCGACTACGTCCTGAAGGGATACATTTCCAAATCCTCTTTCCCTTACTTTGGCACAAGGTCATAAATATGGTGGACTCAGTGAGGATCGAGCCTGCAACAGATGTTTTATAATTGCAGCTTACTGACCATAATGCTGTCATGCGTTTGCGCATATCTAAGATTTCATTGAAGATCATAAAGACGGTTTCTTTAAATAATCTTTTTTATTCATTCAAGCTTGTACGAAATCAAGAGAAAATTACAAAAAATTTAAAATCTATGTATGTTTGTATGTATGTATGTGTTTCGCTTTCTGTCTGTCTGTCTGTCTATCTATCTATCTATCTATCTATCTATCTGTCAGGTGTTATCGAAAAAGTGTTCAAATAATATGAATTGCGCAAATAAAAAAGTGAAAAACAGTAGCTTCCCTCTACAAATACGACCAAAATCAGGACTTTTAATCTGAGTTTTATTTTACGAGTCCCTTTCACCTGCAATAATTTGAACCTTCTTATGGACATTTACAAAAAATGACAATACTGTCAAGGGAAACTACAGCTTTAACAATTATAAGCAATAATAATATCAAAAACTACTCTCATAATGACGACAAAGACAATAATAACAATAGTAACAGTAACATCAAGCGCAAGAAAGAAAAATAGCTAAAAGAATAAAAGAAAATCAGCCAACGTGAAATAAATGGCTCTTTTTGGCGCGCCTTACTTGGCCCGCATTTGGTCTAACAACATTAGACATTCATTGATGGTATTTTTGAGTGGACTAGCACGCGCCTAAGGCCAACAGCAGAGAAAGAAAGGACAAAAAAAAAAAATCAACAAAAAGAGTGATTCGTTATCTATGAATTTCTTTAGCTTTAATAAAGGTGACACACATAATTAAAAGGAAAGGCAGGCTCTAAACCAGCTTTTTTACGAGATAGCGTGTCATGAAAGAAACGACAAAACAGGCGAGGAAAAAGAAACAGAAAACACGGAGCAAAGTAGCTTTCACATGTGAATATTACAAAAAAGTAGTATTGTCGATGATGGAAAAGTGTAAAAAGATATTTACAAAGTCGATATAGGTGCGCATGAAATATGTATGTAAAGTGTATATAAATATGTATTATGTATAGCTTTCGTTTTCTTTTTATACTAGTTGTTGACGTTAGCCGTCATCAAATTTTATTAAAGCCCTAAACATTTCATGTAAAGTTATGGGCATTTAAAAATATTTTACCTGACTTCGATATTTTTAGCACCCCTCCCATTTTCTTTAGTGCTATATCAGCATTTACCTGATTAGCTTCAGTCATTTCCTGAAATAACAAAATAAATATAAAAAAAAAACATGAATAATAGCTGTCATAACAATATAAGCATTCAACATAGTGAACAAAGTGAATAGCAATGAAGGGAATAACAATAAATAACTAAGTAACTAAACGCAATAAACAAATTAAGCAATAAAATAGATAATAGCAAGGAATCATTAATTAAGTGTTAAAATGTATAATAATAAGTAATAAGAAAGTAAATAATAGAAGCAAATATTAACAAAATAATGAATATTAAAGTAAATAACAATGGAAGTAATTAATATCAGTTTATATTAGAAATAACAAAGCAATAACAATGTCACATTCAGAAAAGTAAATAATATCAAAGCAAAAAATAACGGTAATTAAAAAAAGTTATAATAACATAGCGATAGCTTAGGTACATTGACGAAAGCATGGAACAACTTCTGAGGATTGAACTCATTACACAATCGTAATTATTCTGGCGAGACAAGCGTGCTAAGCATTGCACCACGCCAAGTAAGGTTCCTAAGCGTTCTAAATGTGGCACAAGACTGAAAGCATGAGCACCAAGTGAAGATTAAATTTAGTACTCAGTCGTAATTGATCCAGCGAGACAAATTTGCTGACCATTACATCACGACATAAAATATGACAGTTTTTAATTTAAGAAATAAAAACTGACAAAGTGCCGACGATTTAACGGCGCCACACACTGTATTTGCATGCTTTCTGAGCTTAGTATTGTACGAAGCCACTAGCGTTGTGCTTCAAGTGTAGATCAAACTCATTACAATAACAATGGTCTGCGAGATAAGCTTCTAAAAGACTACTATAAGACTAGACGTCCTAGATGTGAATTCATGTAGTTATTTATTAAGTTTAGTTTAGTCTGGCACATGTAGTGGGAATGCAGAGTTTATAAGATTGTATAACGTCAATCCTATAAATAGGGAGGATTTACCTTCCTGCAGTATAATTGCTCTTGAATTAATCACACACACACACACACACACACACACACACACACACACACACACACACACACACACACACACACACACACACACACACATTCAAGAAATCGTAGGTGGTTACAATATCTCCCGTTTATAGTTTTTACCATTATTTCCCGTTTTTTTTTTTTTTTTTTTCTTACAGAAATTACTTTTAAAACTTTCTCATTATTTAGTTCTAACGTTCAGCACTTTGTTATGTACTTTTAATAAATATTTAAAGTGGTGTCATAACCAGTTTCTGCACTCCTTTTCCAATTTTATATGTTTCTTTGTGTCGTCAAATGCTGTTACTGTACATATTCTCAGTAATTAATATGATTTTCATTAATAAGCTGTTCTCGCTGTGAGCTAAAATCTACCACGTATTCTACAAATTCCAATGTATTTTAATAGTTAACAGAAGCTAAAGTAAGTGGTTTGTTATAATCTGTTGCTTTTTTGTCTATTATAGACAAGTCACTCCTAATTCCTGCCAATTCACGTGATAAATTTTAATCTGAAATATTTATAAGAATGATAAGGTGATAGTGTGATATTTATCATAGACTTTATAATATTTATAAATTTGGATAATTATTCTTAAACTGCAGTTTTCAGTCCCGTTTCTTTCTTGCCCGAGATGAATAGCTGTTTTTAAGTTTTAGTCACTTGCAGGTTTGAAAAGATCTATTATTATACCATCTTTGTTGTTGCATATCTGGGTTACACATTTTGAAACGAATACAGAATTTCATCGCTTATAATCTCTGAAGTATCATTAATATCTCCCAGAGTGACTGTTAGGAGCATTTTTATCTATAAGTTTCCATAGTATATATCAGTTATTAATAAATTGTCCATACACTTAGTAATTTTCGTATTTCTAACTTTCAATGCAAGCAGTTGCTGTTTATCGCGGGAGGTTGCGTTTTAAACTGAGGTTTCTCTACTCTTTTTATGACAGATTCTTTTACCCATTGCAGGATTATCTTTCATTCTATTCTCAATTCATGACAGAATCTATTACCGATTGCAAGTTTAGCCTCTTTTCATTATCTTCTCTTTTTTTGACAGATTCTTTTACACTTTGCACGAGTATCTTTCTTTAATTCTATTCTCAATTCATGTGAGAATCTATTACCGCTTGCAGAATCTATTAACCGCTTGCAGAATCTATTACCGCTTTCCACGTTTATCCTCCATTCATTCACTTCTCTTTTCATGACAGATTCTTTTACGCTTTGCAGGTTTATCCTACTTTCATTCTATTAGTTTTTTATGACACATTCTTTTACTCTTTGCAGGTTTATCCTTTTTTAGGCTCTTCTCGTTTATGTCATATTCTTTTAGCCATTGCTCGTTTATCCTACTTTCAGCCACTTCTCTTTTATGACTATTTTACCTTTTGCAGGTTTATCCTCCTTTCAGCCTCTTTTCTTTTTATGACAGATTCTTTTACCCTCTGCAGGTTTATCCTCCTTTTAGCATTTTTTTTTTTATGACAGATTCTTTCACTCTTTGCAGGTTTATCCTCCTTTCAGCCTCTTTTCTTTTTATGACAGATTCTTTTACCCTCTGCAGGTTTATCCTCCTTTCAGCATTTTTTCTTTTTATGACAGATTCTTTTACCCTCTGCAGGTTTATCCTCCTTTCAGCCTCTTTTCTTTTTATGACAGATTCTTTTACCCTATGCAGGTTTATCCTCCTTTCAGCCTCTTTTCTTTTTATGACAGATTCTTTTACCCTCTGCAGGTTTATCCTCCTTTCAGCATCTTTCTTTTTATGACAGATTCTTTTACCCTCTGCAGGTTTATCCTCCTTTCAGACTCATTTCTTTTTATGACAGATTCTTTTACCCACTGCAAGTTTATCCTCCTTTCAGCCTCTTTTCTTTTTATGACAGATTCTTTTACCCTCTGCAGGTTTATCCTCCTTTCAGCATTTTTTCTTTTTATGACAGATTCTTTCACCCTTTGCAGGTTTATCCTCCTTTCTTTTTATGACAGATTCTTTTACCCTCTGCAGGTTTATCCTCCTTTCAGCATTTTTCTTTTTATGACAGATTCTTTCACCCTTTGCAGGTTTATCCTCCTTTCAGCCTCTTTTCTTTTTATGACAGATTCTTTTACCCTCTGCAGGTTTATCCTCCTTTCATTATTTTTTCTTTTTATGACAGATTATTTCACCCTTTGCAGGTTTATCCTCCTTTCTTTTTATGACAGATTCTTTTACCCTCTGCAGGTATATCCTCCTTTCAGCATTTTTTCTTTTTATGACAGATTCTTTCACCCTTTTCAGGTTATCCTCCTTTCTTTTTATGACAGATTCTTTTAACCACTGCAGGTTTATCCTCCTTTTCAGCATTTTTTTCTTTTTATGTCAGATTCTTTTCACCCTCTGCAGGTTTATCCTCCCTTTCAGCCTCTTTTCTTTTATGACAGATTCTTTTTACCCTCTTGCAGGTTTATCCTCCTTTCAGCATTTTTTCTTTTTATGACAGATTCTTTCACCCTTTGCAGGTTTATCCTCCTTTTTTTTATGACAGATTCTTTTACCCTCTGCAGGTTTATCCTCCTTTCAGCATTTTTTCTTTTTATGACAGATTCTTTCACCCTCTGCAGGTTTATCCTCCTTTCAGCCTCTTTTCTTTTTATGACAGATTCTTTTACCCTCTGCAGGTTTATCCTCCTTTCAGCATTTTTTCTTTTTATGACAGATTCTTTCACCCTCTGCAGGTTTATCCTCCTTTCAGCCTCTTTTTTTTATGACAGATTCTTTTACCCCTGCAGGTTTTCCTTTCAGCATTTTTTCTTTTTTTATGACAGATTCTTTTACCCTCTGCAGGTTTATCCTCCTTTCAGCCTTTTTTCTTTTTATGACAGATTCTTTTACCCTCTGCAGGTTTTATCCTTTTCAGCATTTTTTTTTTTATGACAGATTCTTTTACCCTCTGCAGGTTTATCCTCCTTTCAGCCTTTTTCTTTTTTTGACAGATTCTTTTACCCTCTGCAGGTTTATCCTCCTTTCAGCCTCTTTTCTTTTTATGACAGATTCTTTTACCCTCTGCAGGTTTATCCTCCTTTCAGCATTTTTTCTTTTTATGACAGATTCTTTTACCCTCTGCAGGTTTATCCTCCTTTCAGCATTTTTCTCATTTTTTTTTTTTTTTTTTATGACAGATTCTTTTACCCTTCTGCAGTTTTCCTCCTTTTCCTTTTTTCTTTTATGACAGATTCTTTCACCCAGGTTTATCCTCCTTTCCTCTTTTCTTTTTTTGACAGATTCTTTTACCCTCCAGGTTTATCCTCCTTTCATCCTCTTTTTTTTTTATGACAGATTCTTTTACCCTCTGCAGGTTTATCCTCCTTTCAGCATTTTTTTTTTTTATCAGGTTTATCCTCTTTTCTTTTTTATGACAGATTCTTTTTACCCCTGCAGGTTTATCCTCCTTTCAGCATTTTTTTTTTTATGTCAGATTCTTTTACCCTCTGCAGGTTTATCCTCCTTTCAGCCTGTTTTCTTTTTATGACAGATTCTTTTACCCTCTGCAGGTTTATCCTCCTTTCAGCATTTTTTTTTTTTTATGACAGATTCTTTTCACCCTTTGCAGGTTTATCCTTTCATTTTTTTTTTATGACAGATTCTTTTTACCCTCTGCAGGTTTATCCTCCTTTCAGCCTTTTTTTTTTTTATGACAGATTCTTTCACCCTTTGCAGGTTTATCCTCTTTTTATGACAGATTCTTTAGCCTTTTTTCTTTTTAGACATTTTTCTTTTTTTTACCCTTTGCAGGTTTATCCTCCTTTCAGCATTTTTCTTTTTATGACAGATTCTTTTCACCCTTTGCAGGTTTATCCTCCTTTCAGCATTTTTTTCTTTTTATGACAGATTCTTTTTACCCTCTGCAGGTTTATCCTCCTTTCAGCATTTTTTTCTTTTTATGACAGATTCTTTCACCCTTTGCAGGTTTATCCTCCTTTCATTTTTTTTTTTATGACAGATTCTTTTACCCTCTGCAGGTTTATCCTCCTTTCAGCATTTTTTTTCTTTTTATGACAGATTCTTTCACCCTCTGCAGGTTTATCCTCCTTTCAGCATTTTTTCTTTTTATGACAGATTCTTTTCACCCTCTGCAGGTTTATCCTCCTTTCAGCATTTTTCTTTTTATGACAGATTCTTTTACCCTCTGCAGGTTTATCCTCCTTTCAGCATTTTTTTTTTTTTTTTTTTTCCTTTTTTTATTTTTCTTTTTTTTCTTTTTTTTTTTTGCAGGTTTATCCTCCTTTCATCCTTTCAGCCTTTTTCTTTTTATGACAGATTCTTTTTACCCTCTGCAGGTTTTATCCTCCTTTTCAGCATTTTTTTCTTTTTTATGACAGATTCTTTTCACCCTTTGCAGGTTTATCATCCTTTCTTTTTATGACAGATTCTTTTACCCACTGCAGGTTTATCCTCCTTTCAGCATTTTTTCTTTTTATGACAGGTTCTTTCACCCTCTTGTTTTAGGTTTAGCATTTTTTTTTTTTTTGACAGATTCTTTTACCCTCTGCAGGTTTATCCTCCTTTCTTTTTTTTTTATGACAGATTCTTTTACCCTCTGCAGGTTTATCCTCCTTTCAGCATTTTTTATTTTATGACAGATTCTTTCACCCTTTTCAGGTTTATCCTCCTTTCTTTTTATGACAGATTCTTTTACCCTCTGCAGGTTTATCCTCCTTTCAGCATTTTTTCTTTTTATGAAAGATTCTTTCACCCTTTGCTGGTTTATCCTCCTTTCAGCCTCTTTTCTTTTTATGACAGATTCTTTTACCCTCTGCAGGTTTATCCTCCTTTTCAGCATTTTTTTTTTTATGACAGATTCTTTCACCCTTTGCATTTTTCTTTTATCCCTTGCAGGTTTTTTTTTTTTATGACAGATTCTTTTACCCTTTGCAGGTTTATCCTCCTTTCAGCATTTTTTCTTTTTATGACAGATTCTTTCACCCTTTGCAGGTTTATCCTCCTTTCAGCTGCAGGTTTATCCTCTTTTTTTTTTTTATGACAGATTCTTTCACCCTTTGCAGGTTTATCCTCCTTTCAGCCTTTTTTTTTTTTATGACAGATTTTTTTACCCTCTGCAGGTTTTTATCCTTTCCTTTTTTCTTTTTTATGACAGATTCACCATTTTTTACCCTTTTTTTCTGCAGGTTTATCCTCCAGGTTTTCAGCATTTTTTTTTTTTTGACAGATTCTTTCACCTTTGCAGGTTTATCCTCCTTTCAGCCTCTTTTCTTTTTATGACAGATTCTTTTTACCCTCTGCAGGTTTTATCCTCCTTTCAGCATTTTTTCTTTTTATGACAGATTCTTTCACCCTTTGCAGGTTTATCCTCCTTTCATTTTTTTTTTATGACAGATTCTTTTACCCTTTGCAGGTTTATCCTCCTTTCAGCATTTTTTTTTTTTTATGACAGATTCTTTCACCCTTTGCAGGTTTATCCTCCTTTCAGCCTCTTTTTTTTTTTATGACAGATTCTTTTTACCCTCTGCAGGTTTATCCTCCTTTCAGCATTTTTTTTTTTTATGACAGATTCTTTCACCCTTTGCAGGTTTATCCTCCTTTCTTTTTATGACAGATTCTTTTACCCTCTGCAGGTTTATCCTCCTTTCAGCATTTTTTTTTTATGACAGATTTTTTTTGCAGGTTTATCATCCTTTCAGCCTCTTTTCTTTTTGACAGATTCTTTTACCCTCTGCAGGTTTATCCTCCTTTCAGCATTTTTTCTTTTTTATGACAGATTTTTACCCTTTGCAGGTTTATCCTCCTTTCAGCCTTTTCTTTTTTATAATTCTTTTACCCTCTGCATGTTTATCTTCCCTTTCATTTTTTTACCCTTTGCAGGTTTATCCTCCTTTTCAGCATTTTTCTTTTTATGACAGATTCTTTTTCTTTTACCCTTTGCAGGTTTATCCTCCTTTCTTTTTTTTTTTTATGACAGATTCTTTTACCCTCTCTGCAGGTTTATCCTCCTTTCAGCATTTTCTTTTTTACAGATTCTTTCACCCTTTGCAGGTTTATCCTCCTTTCAGCCTTTTTTTTTTTATGACAGATTCTTTTTACCCTCTGCAGGTTTATCCTCCTTTCAGCATTTTTCTTTTTGACAGATTCTTTCACCCTTTGCAGGTTTATCCTCCTTTTTTTCAGCCTTTTTTCTTTTTATGACAGATTCTTTTTTTACCTCTGCAGGTTTATCCTCCTTTCAGCATTTTTTATTTTATGACAGATTCTTTCACCCTTTGCAGGTTTATCCTCCTTTCAGCATTTTTTTTTTTTTATGACAGATTCTTTTACCCTTTGCAGGTTTATCCTCCTTTCAGCATTTTTTCTTTTATGACAGATTCTTTCACCCTTTGCAGGTTTATCCTCCTTTCAGCCTCTTTTTCTTTTTTTGACAGATTCTTTTTTTCAGACCTCTGCAGGTTTATCCTCCTTTCAGCATTTTTTTCTTTTTATGACAGATTCTTTTTACCCTCTGCAGGTTTATCCTCCTTTCAGCCTTTTCTTTTTATGACAGATTCTTTTACCCTTTGCAGGTTTATCCTCCTTTTCAGCATTTTTCTTTTTATGACAGATTCTTTTACCCTCTGCAGGTTTATCCTCCTTTCAGCCTTTTTTTTTTTATGACAGATTCTTTCACCCTTTGCAGGTTTTATCCTTTCCTTTTCTTTTTTATGACAGATTCTTTTTACCCTCTGCAGGTTTTATCCTCCTTTTCAGCATTTTTTTTTTTTTATGACAGATTCTTTCACCCTTTGCAGGTTTATCCTCCTTTCCTCCTTTTCTTTTTTTTTTATGACAGATTCTTTTTACCCTCTGCAGGTTTATCCTCCTTTCAGCATTTTTTCTTTTTATGACAGATTCTTTCACCTTTTTCAGGTTTATCCTCCATTTTTCTTTTTATGACAGATTCTTTTTACCCACTGCAGGTTTATCCTCCTTTCAGCATTTTTCTTTTTTCTTTTTTTTTTTAGGTTGACAGATTCTTCACAGATTCTTTACCCCTCTGCAGGTTTATCCTCCTTTTCTTTTTTTTTATCACAGATTCTTTTTACCCTCTGCAGGTTTATCCTCCTTTCAGCATTTTTTTTTTTTATGACAGATTCTTTCACCCTTTGCAGGTTTATCCTCCTTTCCTTTTTTTCTTTTTATGACAGATTCTTTTACCCTCTGCAGGTTTATCTTCCTTTCAGCATTTTTTTTTCTTTTTTATGACAGATTCTTTCACCCTTTGCAGGTTTATCCTCCTTTCAGCCATTTTTTTTTTTATGACAGATTCTTTTTACCCTCTGCAGGTTTATCCTCCTTTCAGCTTTTTTTTTTATGACAGATTCTTTCACCCTTTGCAGGTTTATCCTCCTTTCTTTTTATGACAGATTCTTTTACCCTCTGCAGGTTTATCCTCCTTTCAGCATTTTTTTTTTATGACAGATTCTTTCACCCTTTGCAGGTTTATCCTCCTTTCTTTTTATGACAGATTCTTTTTACCCTGCAGGTTTATCCTCCTTTCAGCATTTTTTTCTTTTATGACAGATTCTTTTTACCCTCTGCAGGTTTATCCTCCTTTCACCATTTTTCTTTTTATGACAGATTCTTTTACCCTCTGCAGGTTTTATCCTTTCAGCAGGTTTTTTTTTTCTTTTTATGACAGATTCTTTTTACCCTTTGCAGGTTTCCTCCTTTCCATTTTTCTTTTTATGACAGATTCTTTTACCCTTTGCAGGTTTATCCTCCTTTCAGCTTTTTTTTCTTTTTATGACAGATCCTCTTTTTCACCCTTTTTAGGTTTATTTTCCTTTCAGGTTTATCCTTTTCAGCATTTTTTTTTTATGACAGATTCTTTTACCCTCTGCAGGTTTATCCTCCTTTCATGACAGTTTTTTTTTCCTCTGGTTTTTTTTTATGACAGATTATGACAGATTTTTTACCCTCTGCAGGTTTATCCTCCTTTTCAGCATTTTTTCTTTTTATGACAGATTCTTTCACCCTTTGCAGGTTTTATCCTCCTTTTTCAGGTTTTTTTTTTTTTTATGACAGATTCTTTTACCCTCTGCAGGTTTATCCTCCTTTCAGCATTTTTTTTTTATGACAGATTCTTTCACCCTTTGCAGGTTTATCCTCCTTTCTTTTTATGACAGATTCTTTTACCCACTGCAGGTTTATCCGCCTTTCAGCATTTTTTCTTTTTATGACAGATTCTTTTACCCTCTGCAGGTTTATCCTCCTTTCAGCATCCTTTTTTCTTTTTATGACAGATTCTTTTACCCTTTTCAGGTTTTCCTCCTTTCAGCATTTTTTTTTTTTATGACAGATTCTTTTACCCCTTTGCAGGTTTATCCTCCTTCAGCCTTTTTTCTTTTTATGACAGATTCTTTCACCCTTTGCAGGTTTATCCTCCTTTCAGCCTCTTTTCTTTTTATGACAGATTCTTTTACCCTCTGCAGGTTTATCCTCCTTTCAGCCTCTTTTCTTTTTATGACAGATTCTTTTACCCTCTGCAGGTTTATCCTCCTTTCAGCATTTTTTCTTTTTATGACAGATTCTTTCACCCTTTGCAGGTTTATCCTCCTTTCTTTTTATGACAGATTCTTTTACCCTCTGCAGGTTTATCTTCCTTTCAGCATTTTTTCTTTTATGACATTCTTTTCACCCTGCAGGTTTTTCTTTCAGCCTTTTCTTTTTATGACAGATTTTTTTACCCTCTGCAGGTTTTATTTTTTCAGCATTTTTTTTTTTTTTCAGCAGGTTTTTTTCTTTTTATGACAGATTCTTTTACCCTCTGCAGGTTTATCCTCCTTTCAGCATTTTTTTTTTTTTTATGACAGATTCTTTCACCCTTTGCAGGTTTATCCTCCTTTCAGCCTTTTTTTTTTTATGACAGATTCTTTTACCCACTGCAGGTTTATCCTCCTTTCAGCATTTTTCTTTTTTTTATGACAGATTCTTTTCACCCTCTGCAGGTTTATCCTCTTTTTCAGCATTTTTTTTTTCTTTTTATGACAGATTCTTTTACCCTCTGCAGGTTTATCCTCCTTTCAGCTTTTTTTTCTTTTTTATGACAGATTCTTTTCACCCTTTGCAGGGTTTATCCTCCTTTTCATTTTTTTTTTTTTTATGACAGATTCTTTTTTTTTACCTTTGCAGGTTTATCCTCCTTTCAGCCTTTTTTCTTTTTATGACAGATTCTTTTTACCCTCTGCAGGTTTATCCTCCTTTTCAGCATTTTTTTTTTTTTTTTACCTTGACAGATTCTTTTATGACCTCTGCAGGTTTATCCTCCTTTCAGCATTTTTTTTTTATGACAGATTCTTTCACCCTTTGCAGGTTTATCTCCTCAGCTTTTTTTTTTTTATGACAGATTCTTTTACCCTTTGCATTTTCTTTTTTTTCCTTTCAGCCTCTTTTTTTTTATGACAGATTCTTTTACCCTCTGCAGGTTTATCCTCCTTTCAGCATTTTTTCTTTTTTTATGACAGATTCTTTTACCCTTTGCAGGTTTATCCTCCTTTCAGCATTTTTTTTTTTATGACAGATTCTTTTACCCTCTGCAGGTTTATCCTCCTTTCAGCCATTTTTCTTTTTTATGACAGATTCTTTCACTCTTTGCAGGTTTATCCTCCTTTCAGCATTTTTCTTTTTATGACAGATTCTTTTACCCTCTGCAAGGTTTTCCTTTCATTTTTTTTTTTTATGACAGATTCTTTTCACCTTCTGCAGGTTTTTATCCTCTTTTTTCTTTTTCTTGACAGATTCTTTTTTCAGGTTTATCCTCCTTTTTCTTTTTATTTGACAGATTCTTTTACCCTTGCAGGTTTATCCTCCTTTCAGCCTTTTTTCTTTTTATGACAGATTCTTTTACCCTCTGCAGGTTTATCCTCCTTTCAGCCTTTTTTCTTTTTTATGACAGATTCTTTCACCCTTTGCAGGTTTATCCTCCTTTCCTTTTTTCTTTTTATGACAGATTCTTTTTTACCCTCTGCAGGTTTATCCTCCAGCCTCTTTTTTTTTATGACAGATTCTTTTTTACCCCTCTGCAGGTTTTATCCTTTCAGCTTTCTTTTTATGCATTTTTTCTTTTTTTTTTGACAGATTCTTTTTTACTTCTGCAGGTTTATCCTCCTTTCAGCATTTTTTTTTTTTACACAGATCTGCAGGTTTCTTTTCAGCCCCTCTGCAGGTTTATCCTCCTTTCAGCATTTTTCTTTTTATGACAGATTCTTTCACCTTTGCAGGTTTATCCTCCTTTCAGCCTCTTTTTTTTTTATGACAGATTCTTTTTACCCTCTGCAGGTTTATCCTCCTTTTCAGCATTTTTTTTTTTATGACAGATTCTTTTTACCAGGTTTGCAGGTTTATCCTCCTTTCAGCTGCATTTTTTTTTTTTTATGACAGATTCTTTTTTACCCTCTGCAGGTTTATCCTCCTTTCAGCATTTTTCTTTTTTATGACAGATTCTTTCACCCTTTTCAGGTTTATCCTCCTTTCTTTTTCTTTTTTATGACAGATTCTTTTACCTTCTGCAGGTTTATAGTCCTTTCAGCATTTTTTTTTTTTATGACAGATTCTTTTCACCCTCTGCAGGTTTATCCTCCTTTTCAGCCTTTTTTTTTTTTATGACAGATTCTTTTCACCCTCTGCAGGTTTATCCTCCTTCCATTTTTTTTTTATGACAGATTTTTTTTTTTTTATCCTCCTTTCATTTTTTATTTTTTACTTTTTGCAGGTTTATCCTCCTTTCAGTATTTTTTCTTTTTATGACAGATTCTTTTACCCTCTGCAGGTTTATCCTCCTTTCAGCCTTTTTTTTTTTATGACAGATTCTTTTTACCCTTTGCAGGTTTATCCTCCTTTCAGCATTTTTTTTCAGACAGATTCTTTCACCCTTTGCAGGTTTATCCTCCTTTCAGCCTTTTTCTTTTTATGACAGATTCTTTTACCCTCTGCAGGTTTATCCTCCTTTCAGCCTTTTTTCTTTTTATGACAGATTCTTTTCACCCTCTGCAGGTTTATCCTCTTTTTTTATGACAGATTTTTTCCTTTGCATTCTTTTCACATTTTTTCTTTTTATTTCAGATTCTTTTCACCCTCTGCAGGTTTATCCTCCTTTCCTTTTTCTTTTTATGACAGATTCTTTTACCCTCTGCAGGTTTTATCCTCCTTTCAGCCTCTTTTTTTTTTTATGACAGATTCTTTTTCCCCTTTTCAGGTTTATCCTCCTTTCAACATTTTTTCTTTTTATGACAGATTCTTTTCACCCTTTTGCAGGTTTATCCTCCTTTTCAGCCATTTTTTTTCTTTTTTATGACAGATTCTTTTACCCTCTGCAGGTTTATCCTCCTTTCAGCATTTTTTTTTTTTATGACAGATTCTTTTCACCCTTTGCAGGTTTATCCTCCTTTCTTTTTTATGACAGATTCTTTTTACCCTCTGCAGGTTTATCCTCCTTTCAGCATTTTTTCTTTTATGACAGATTCTTTCACTTTTGCAGGTTTATCCTCCTTTCTTTTTTTTTTTATGACAGATTCTTTTACCCTCTGCAGGTTTATCCTCCTTTCACCCTTTGCATTTTTTTCAGCCTCTTTTTTTTTTATGAGATTCTTTCACCCTCTGCAGGTTTATCCTCCTTTCAGCTTTTTTTTTTTTATGACAGATTCTTTTTACCCTCTGCAGGTTTATCCTCCTTTTCAGCATTTTTTTTTTTTTATGACAGATTCTTTTACCCTCTGCAGGTTTATCCTCCTTTCATTTTTTTTTTATGACAGATTCTTTTACCCTCTGCAGGTTTATCCTCCTTTCCTTTTTTTTTATGACAGATTCTTTTACCCACTGCTGGTTTATCCTCCTTTCAGCCTTTTTTCTTTTTTTATGACAGATTCTTTCACCCTCTGCAGGTTTATCCTCCTTTCAGCATTTTTTTCTTTTTTATGACAGATTCTTTTTTACCCTCTGCAGGTTTATCCTCCTTTTCAGCCTTTTTTTTTTTTTTTTTATGACAGATTCTTTCACCCTTTGCAGGTTTATCCTCCTTTCTTTTTTTGACAGATTCTTTTACCCTCTGCAGGTTTATCCTCCTTTCAGCATTTTTTTTTGACAGATTTTTTTTTACCTTTTATGACAGATTCTTTCACCTCTGCAGTTTATCCTCCTTTCAGCCTTTTTTCTTTTTTATGACAGATTCTTTTACCCTCTGCAGGTTTATCCTCCTTTTTCAGCATTTTTTTCCTTTTTTATGACAGATTCTTTTACCCTCTGCAGGTTTTATCCTCCTTTCAGCTTTTTTTCTTTTTATGACAGATTCTTTCACCCTTTGCAGGTTTATCCTCCTTTCTTTTTATGACAGATTCTTTTACCCACTGCAGGTTTATCCTCCTTTCAGCATTTTTTCTTTTTATGACAGGTTCTTTCACCCTTTGCAGGTTTTCTCCTCCTTTCAGCCTCTTTTCTTTTTATGACAGATTCTTTTACCCTCTGCAGGTTTATCCTCCTTTCAGCATTTTTTTTTTTTATGACAGATTCTTTTTACCCTTTGCAGGTTTCATCCTTTCCTTTTTTTTTTATGACAGATTCTTTTACCCTTTGCAGGTTTATCCTCCTTTCCTTTTTTTTCTTTTTATGACAGATTCTTTTACCCTCTGCAGGTTTATCCTCCTTTCATTTTTTTTTTTTATGACAGATTCTTTTACCCTCTGCAGGTTTATCCTCCTTTCAGCCTTTTTTTTTTTATGACAGATTCTTTTACCCTCTGCAGGTTTATCCTCCTTTCAGCCTTTTTTCTTTTTATGACAGATTCTTTTTTACCTCTGCAGGTTTATCCTCCTTTCAGCATTTTTTTTTTTATGACAGATTCTTTTACCCTCTGCAGGTTTATCCTCCTTTCATTTTTCTTTTTTTTTTCTTTTTTATGCAGGTTTTCTTTTTTCTTTTTTGCAGGTTTATCCTCCTTTCAGTTTTTTTTCTTTATGACAGATTCTTTTCACCCTCTGCAGGTTTATCCTCCTTTCAGCCTTTTTTCTTTTTATGACAGATTCTTTTTACCCTCTGCAGGTTTATCCTCCTTTCAGCATTTTTCTTTTATGACAGATTCTTTTACCCTCTGCAGGTTTATCCTCAGGTTTTTTCATTTTTATGACAGATTCTTTTACCCTCTGCAGGTTTATCCTCCTTTCAGCATTTTTTCTTTTTTATGACAGATTCTTTTCTTTTATCCCCTTTTCTGCAGATTTTTTATCCTCCTTTGTATTTTTCTTTTTATGACAGATTCTTTCACCCTCTGCAGGTTTATCCTCCTTTCAGCCATTTTTCTTTTTATGACAGATTCTTTTACCCCTCTGCAGGTTTATCCTCCTTTCAGCCTCTCCTTTTCTTTTTTTATGACAGATTCTTTTACCCTCTGCAGGTTTATCCTCCTTTCAGCCTCAGTTTTTTCCTTTTTTTATGACAGATTCTTTTACCCTCTGCAGGTTTATCCTCCTTTCAGCATTTTTTTTTTTATGACAGATTCTTTCACCTTTTCAGGTTTATCCTCCTTTCAGCATTTTTTATTTTATGACAGATTCTTTCACCTCTGCAGGTTTATCCTCCTTTCAGCATTTTTTCTTTTTATGACAGATTCTTTTCCCTCTGCAGATTTATCCTCCTTTCAGCATTTTTTTTTTTTATGACAGATTATTTCACTATTTGCAGGTTTATCATCCTTTCTTTTTATGACAGATTCTTTTACCCACTGCAGGTTTATCCTCCCTTTCAGCATTTTTTCTTTTTTATGACAGATTCTTTTACCCTTTGCAGGTTTATCCTCCTTTCAGCCTCTTTTTTTTTTTATGACAGATTCTTTTTTACCCTCTGCAGGTTTATCCTCCTTTCAGCATTTTTTTCTTTTTATGACAGATTCTTTCACCCTTTTCAGGTTTATCCTCCTTTCCTTTTTATGACAGATTTTTTTTTACCCTCTGCAGGTTTATCCTCCTTTCAGCATTTTTCTTTTTATGACAGATTCTTTCACCCTTTGCTGGTTTATCCTCCTTTCAGCCTCTTTTCTTTTTTATGACAGATTCTTTTACCCTCTGCAGGTTTATCCTCCTTTCCTCTTTTCTTTTATGACAGATTCTTTTGCAGGTTTTATCCTCCTTTCTGCATTTTTCTTTTTGACAGAATTCTTTTCACCTCTGCAGGTTTATCTCCTTTCAGCCCTTTTTTATGACAGATTCTTTTACCCTCTGCAGGTTTATCCTTATCCTCTTTTTTTTTTTATGACAGATTTTTTACCCTCTTTTCTTTTTATGACAGATTCTTTTTTACCCTCTGCAGGTTTATCCTCCTTTCAGCATTTTTTTTTATGACAGATTCTTTCACCCTTTGCAGGTTTATCCTCCTTTCAGCATTTTTTTTTTTTATGACAGATTCTTTTACCCTCTGCAGGTTTATCCTCCTTTCAGCATTTTTTTTTTTTTATGACAGATTCTTTTCACCCTCTGCAGGTTTATCCTCCTTTCAGCATTTTTCTTTTTTATGACAGATTCTTTTCACCCTTTGCAGGTTTATCCTCCTTTCAGCCTCTTTTCTTTTTTATGACAGATTCTTTTTACCCACTGCAGGTTTATCCTCCTTTCAGCATTTTTTCTTTTTATGACAGATTCTTTCACCCTTTGCAGGTTTATCCTCCTTTCAGCATTTTTATTTTATGACAGACCCTTTGCAGGTTCATCCTCTTTTCTTTTTATGACAGATTCTTTTTACCCTCTGCAGGTTTATCCTCCTTTCAGCATTTTTTTTTTTTATGACAGATTCTTTTCACCCTTTTCAGGTTTATCCTCCTTTCAGCCTTTTTTCTTTTTATGACAGATTCTTTTACCCTCTGCAGGTTTATCCTCCTTTCAGCATTTTTTTTCTTTTTATGACAGATTCTTTTCACCCTTTGCAGGTTTATCCTCCTTTCATCCTCTTTTCTTTTTTTATGACAGATTCTTTTACCCTCTGCAGGTTTATCCTCCTTTCAGCATTTTTTTTTTGACAGATTCTTTTACCCTCTGCAGGTTTATCCTCCTTTTTTTTTCTTTTTATGACAGATTCTTTTTACCCCTCTGCAGGTTTATCCTCCTTTCAGCCTCTTTTTCATTTTTTTTTTATGACAGATTCTTTTACCTCTGCAGGTTTATCCTCCTTTCAGCATTTTTTTTTTTATGACAGATTTTTCCCCCTTTGCAGGTTTATCTTTTCCTTCAGCATTTTTATGACAGATTCTTTTACCCTTTGCAGGTTATTTTTCCATTTTTTCTTTTTGACAGATTCTTTTTATCCTCTTTTCTTTTATGACAGATTCTTTTACCCTCTGCAGGTTTATCCTCCTTTCAGCATTTTTCTTTTTTTATCACAGATTCTTTCACAGGTATATCCTCCTTTTCAGCATTTTTTCTTTTATCCTCCTTCTTTTTTTTTATGACAGATTCTTTTACCCCTTGCAGCATTTTTTTCTTTTTATCCTCCTTTCAGCATTTTTCTTTTTATGACAGATTCTTTTACCCTTTGCAGGTTTATCCTCCTTTCAGCATTTTTCTTTTTATGACAGATTCTTTTACCCTCTGCAGGTTTATCCTCCTTTCAGCCTCTTTTCTTTTTATGACAGATTCTTTTACCCTCTGCAGGTTTATCCTCCTTTCAGCATTTTTTCTTTTTATGACAGATTCTTTCACCCTTTGCAGGTTTATCCTCCTTTCAGCCTTTTTTTTATGACAGATTCTTTTACCCTCTGCAGGTTTATCCTCCTTTCAGCATTTTTTTTTTTTTATGACAGATTCTTTCACCCTTTGCAGGTTTATCCTCCATTTTTTTTTATCACAGATTTTTCACCCTTTTTGATGAATTCTTTTTGACCCTACCCTTTGCAGGTTTATCCTCCTTTCAGCCTTTTTTCTTTTTATGACAGATTCTTTTTCACCCTCTGCAGGTTTATCCTCCTTTCAGCCTCTTTTTTTTTATGACAGATTCTTTTACCTCTGCAGGTTTATCCTCCTTTCAGCATTTTTTTCTTTTTATGACAGATTCTTTTTTTCACCCTTTGCAGGTTTATCCTCCTTTTTTTTTTATGACAGATTCTTTTTACCCTCTGCAGGTTTATCCTCCTTTCAGCATTTTTTTTTTTTTATGACAGATTCTTTCACCCTTTGCAGGTTTATCCTCCTTTTCAGCCTCTTTTCTTTTTATGACAGATTCTTTTACCCTCTGCAGGTTTATCTTCCTTTCCCATTTTTTTTTTATGACCTTTTTTTCTGCAGGTTTATTCCATTTTTTTCTTTTCAGATTCTTTTTTTATGACAGATTCTTTTTACCCTCTGCAGGTTTATCCTCCTTTCAGCATTTTTTTTTTTATGACAGATTCTTTCACCCTTTGCAGGTTTATCCTCCTTTCTTTTTTTATGACAGATTCTTTTTTACCCCTCTGCAGGTTTATCCTCCTTTCAGCATTTTTTTTCTTTTTATGACAGATTCTTTCACCCTCTGCAGGTTTATCCTCCTTTCAGCATTTTTTTTTTTATGACAGATTCTTTTACCCTCTGAAGGTTTATCCTCCAGATTCTTTCAGCATTTTTTCTTTTTATGACAGATTATTTCACCCTTTGCAGGTTTATCCTCCTTTCTGCATTTTTTCTTTTTATGACAGATTCTTTTACCCTCTGCAGGTTTATCCTCCTTTCAGCATTTTTTTTTTTGACAGATTCTTTCACCCTCTGCAGGTTTATCATCCTTTCAGGGCATTTTTTTTTTTCTTTTCACTATTTGCAGGTTTATTCTTTCAGATTCTTTTACCAGGTTATTTTTCTTTTTTTCTTTTGCAGGTTTATCCTCCTTTCAGGTTTATTTTCTTTTTTATGACAGATTCTTTTTCACCCTCTGCAGGTTTTATCCTCCTTTCAGCCTCTTTTCTTTTTATGACAGATTCTTTTACCCTCTGCAGGTTTATCCTCCTTTTCAGCATTTTTTTTTCTTTTTATGACAGATTCTTTCACTTTTTTTGCAGGTTTATCCTCCTTTTCTTTTCTTTTTATGACAGATTCTTTTTTACCCTCTGCAGGTTTATCCTCCTTTCAGCCTTTTTTCTTTTTGTAAGATTCTTTTACACCTCTGCAGGTTTATCCTCCTTTCAGCCTCTTTTCTTTTTATGACAGATTCTTTTACCCTCTGCAGGTTTATCCTCCTTTCAGAATTTTTTCTTTTTATGACAGATTCTTTCAACATTTGCAGGTCTATCCTCCTTTCAGCCTCTTTTCTTTTTATGACAGATTCTTTTACCCTCTGCAGGTTTATCCTCCTTTCAGCATTTTTTCTTTTTATGACAGATTCTTTCACCCTTTGCAGGTTTATCCTCCTTTCTTTTTATGACAGATTCTTTTACCCTCTGCAGGTTTATCCTCCTTTCAGCATTTTTTCTTTTTATGACAGATTCTTTCACCCTCTGCAGGTTTATCCTCCTTTCAGCCTCTTTTCTTTTTATGACAGATTCTTTTACCCTCTGCAGGTTTATCCTCCTTTCAGCATTTTTTTTTTTTTTTATGACAGATTCTTTTACCCCCAGGTTTCTCTCTTTCTTTTATCCTTTTTCAGGTTTATCCTCCTTTCAGCATTTTTTTTATGACAGATTCTTTCACCCTTTTCAGGTTTATCCTCCTTTTTTTTTTTATGACAGATTCTTTTACCCTCTGCAGGTTTATCCTCCTTTCAGCATTTTTTCTTTTTTATGACAGATCCTTTCTCCCTTTGCAGGTTTATCCTCCTTTCAGCCTCTTTTCTTTTTATGACAGATTCTTTTACCCTCTGCAGGTTTATCCTCCTTTCAGCATTTTTTCTTTTTATGACAGATTCTTTCACCCTCTGCAGGTTTATTCTCCTTTCTTTTTATGACAGATTCTTTTACCCACTGCAGGTTTATCCTCCTTTCAGCATTTTTTCTTTTTATGACAGATTCTTTCACCCTTTTCAGGTTTATCCTCCTTTCTTTTTATGTCAGATTCTTTTACCTTCTCCAGGTATATAGTCCTTTCAGCATTTTTTCTTTTTATGACAGATTCTTTCACCCTCTGCAGGTTTATCCACCTTTCAGCCTCTTTTCTTTTTATGACAGATTCTTTCACCCTCTGCAGGTTTATCCTCCTTTCTGCATTTTTCTTTTTTTGACAGATTCTTTTACCCTCTGCAGGTTTATCCTCCTTTCAGCCTCATTTCTTTTTATGACAGATTCTTTTACCCTCTGCAGGTTTATCCTCCTTTTTTTTTTTCTTTTTTTCACCCTTTGACAGATTCTTTTACCCTCTGCAGGTTTATCCTCCTTTCAGCATTTTTTTCTTTTTATGACAGATTTTTTCACCTTTTCAGGTTTATCCTCCTTTCAGCATTTTTTTTTTTTTTTTATGACAGATTCTTTTACCCTCTGCAGGTTTTATCCTCCTTTCAGCCTTTTTTTCTTTTTTATGACAGATTCTTTTACCCTCTGCAGGTTTATCCTTTTTTTTATGATTTTTTTTTTTATCTGCAGGTTTATTCTTTTCACCCTTTTAACTTTGCAGGTTTATCCTCCTTTCCTCCTTTTCTTTTTTATGACAGATTCTTTTACCCTTTGCAGGTTTATCCTCCTTTCAGCTTTTTTTTTTTTTTTATGACAGATTCTTTCACCCTTTGCAGGTTTATCCTCCTTTCAGCCTCTTTTTTTTTTTTATGACAGATTCTTTTACCCTCTGCAGGTTTATCCTCCTTTCAGTATTTTTTTTTTTTTCTTTTTGCAGGTTTATCCTGACAGATTCTTTTATTTTATGCAGGTTTATCCTCCTTTCAGCTTTTTTTTTTCTTTTTATGACAGATTCTTTCACCCTTTGCAGGTTTATCCTTTCCAGCTTTTTTTTTTTTTATGACAGATTCTTTCACCCTTTGCAGGTTTATCATCCTTTCAGCTTTTTTTTCTTTTTATGACAGATTCTTTTTTTTCACCCTTTGCAGGTTTATCCTCCTTTCAGCATTTTTTTTTCTTTTTATGACAGATTGCTTATCCTCCTTTCTCATTTTTTCTTTTTTTTGACAGATCTTTTTCACCCTTGCAGGTTTATTTCCATTTTTCTTTTTATGACAGATTCTTTTACCTCTGCAGGTTTATCCGCCTTTCAGCATTTTTTTCTTTTTATGACAGATTCTTTTCACATTCTGCAGGTTTTCCTCCTTTCAGCCTCTTTTCTTTTTATGACAGATTCTTTTTTACCCTCTGCAGGTTTATCCTCCTTTCAGCATTTTTCTTTTTATGACAGATTCTTTCACCTTTGCAGGTTTATCCTCCTTTCTTTTTTTATGACAGATTTTTTACCTCTGCAGGTTTATCCTCCTTTCAGCATTTTTTTTTTCTTTTTTATAGCAGATTCTTTCACCCCTTTTTGCGGTTTATCCTCCTTTCAGCCTCTTTTCTTTTTTTTGACAGATTCTTTTACCCTCTGCAGGTTTATCCTCCTTTCAGCATTTTTTTTTTTTATGACAGATTCTTTTTCACCCTTTGCAGGTTTATCCTCCATTTTTTCTTTTTATGACAGATTCTTTTTTACCCTCTGCAGGTTTATCCTCTTTCAGCATTTTTTTTCTTTTTATGACAGATTTTTTCACCCTCTGCAGGTTTTATCCTCCTTTCAGCCTCTTTTCTTTTTTATGACAGATTCTTTTTTACCCTCTGCAGGTTTATCCGCCTTTCAGCATTTTTTTCTTTTTTATGACAGATTCTTTTACCCTCTGCAGGTTTATCCTCCTTTCAGCATTTTTTCTTTTTATGACAGATTCTTTCACCCTTTGCAGGTTTATCCTCCTTTCTTTTTATGACAGATTCTTTTACCCTCTGCAGGTTTATCCTCCTTTCAGCATTTTTTCTTTTTATGGCAGATCTTTTCTCCTTTGCAGGTTTATCCTCCTTTCAGCCTTTTTCTTTTTATGATAGATTCTTTTTACCCTCTGCAGGTTTATCCTCCTTTCAGCATTTTTTTTTTATGACAGATTCTTTCACCCTCTGCAGGTTTATTCTCCTTTCTTTTTATGACAGATTCTTTTACCCTGCAGGTTTTATCCTCCTTTTTCAGCATTTTTTCTTTTTTATGACAGATTCTTTCACCCTCTGCAGGTTTTATCCTCCTTTCAGCCTTTTTTCTTTTTACAGACAGATTCTTTTTTACCCTCTGCAGGTTTATCCTCCTTTTCAGCATTTTTTCTTTTTATGACAGATTCTTTTTCACCCTTTGCAGGTTTATCCTCCTTTTTTTTATGACAGATTCTTTACTGGTTTACCTCTGCAGGTTTATCCTCCTTTCAGCATTTTTTTTTTTTATGACAGATTCTTTCACCCTTTGCAGGTTTATCCTCTCTTTTTTTTTATGACAGATTCTTTTACCCTCTGCAGGTTTATCCTCCTTTCAGCATTTTTTTTTTTTTTTATGATGATTCTTTCACCCTTTGCAGGTTTATCTCCTCCTCTCTTTTTACTTTTTATGACAGATTCTTTTACCCTCTGCAGGTTTATCCTCCTTTCAGCATTTTTTCTTTTTATGACAGATTCTTTCACCCTTTTCAGGTTTATCCTCCTTTCAGCCTCTTTTTTTTTTATGTCAGATTCTTTTACCTTCTCCAGGTATATAGTCCTTTCAGCATTTTTCTTTTTTATGACAGATTCTTTCACCCTCTGCAGGTTTATCCTCCTTTCAGCCTTTTTTTCTTTTTATGACAGATTCTTTTACCCTCTGCAGGTTTATCCTCCTTTCAGCATTTTTTTTTCTTTTTTTGACAGATTCTTTTCACCTTTCAGGTTTATCCTCCTTTCAGCCTTTTTTTTTTATGACAGATTCTTTTACCCTCTGCAGGTTTATCCTCCTTTCAGCATTTTTTTTTTTTTATGACAGATTCTTTTACCTTTGCAGGTTTATCCTCCTTTCTTTTTTTATGACAGATTCTTTTTACCCTCTGCAGGTTTATCCTCCCTTCAGCATTTTTTTTTTTTTACAGATTCTTTCACCCTCTGCAGGTTTATCCTCCTTTCAGCCTCTTTCTTTTTATGACAGATTCTTTTTTACCCTCTGCAGGTTTAATCCTCCTTTCAGCCTTTTTGACAGATTCTTTTCACCTTTGCAGGTTTACTTTTTATGACAGATTCTTTTTACCCTCTGCAGGTTTATCCTCCTTTCAGCATTTTTCTTTTTTGACAGATTCTTTCACCCTTTGCAGGTTTATCCTCTTTTTCTTTTCTTTTTATGACAGATTCTTTTTTACCCTCTGCAGGTTTATCCTCCTTTCAGCATTTTTTTTTTTTATGACAGATTTTTTTACCCTCTGCAGGTTTATCCTCCCATTTTTTTTCTTTTATGCCTTTTTCTTTGCAGGTTTTTATTTCAGATTCTTTTACCCTCTGCAGGTTTATCCTTTGCAGGTTTTCAGCATTTTTCTTTTTATGACAGATTCTTTTACCCTCTGCAGGTTTATCCTCCTTTCAGCATTTTTTTCTTTTTATGACAGATTCTTTCACCCTCTGCAGGTTTATCCTTTCCTTTTTTTTTTATGACAGATTTTTCTTTTTTATGACAGATTCTTTTACCCTCTGCAGGTTTATCCTCCTTTCAGCATTTTTCTTTTTATGACAGATTCTTTCACCTTTGCAGGTTTATCCTCCTTTTCTTTTATCAGATTCTTTTACCCTTTGCAGGTTTATCCTCCTTTCAGCATTTTTTTTCTTTTTATGACAGATTCTTTTACCCTCTGCAGGTTTATCCTCCTTTTTTTTTTTTCTTTTTATGACAGATTCTTTTACCCTCTGCAGGTTTATCCTCCTTTCAGCTTTTTTTTTTCTTTTTATGACAGATTCTTTTCACCCTTTGCAGGTTTATCCTCCTTTCAGACAGATTCTTTTTTTTTTTTTTATGACAGATTCTTTCACCCTTTGCAGGTTTATCCTCCTTTCAGCCTCTTTTTCTTTTTTCTTTCAGAATTATTCTTTTTTTTATGACAGATTCTTTCAACATTTGCAGGTTTATCCTCCTTTCAGCCTCTTTTCTTTTTTTATGACAGATTCTTTTACCCTCTGCAGGTTTATCCTCCTTTCAGCATTTTTTCTTTTTTTATGACAGATTCTTTTCACCCTTTGCAGGTTTATCCTCCTTTTTTTTTTATGACAGATTCTTTTACCCTCTGCAGGTTTATCCTCCTTTCAGCATTTTTTTTTTTTATGACAGATTCTTTCACCCTCTGCAGGTTTATCCTCCTTTCAGCCTCTTTTTCTTTTCTTTTTACATGCACAGATTCTTTTAGCATTTTTTTCTGCAGGTTTATCCAGGTTTTTTTTTTCAGCATTTTTCTTTTTTTATGACAGATTCTTTTTACCCTTTGCAGGTTTATCCCTTCTTTTTTTTTTATGCAGGTTTATCCTTTTCAGCATTTTTTTTTTTTATCCAGATCTTTTTTCAGCATTTTTTCTTTTTATGACAGATTCTTTCACCCTTTGCAGGTTTATCCTCCTTTCAGCCTCTTTTCTTTTTATGACAGATTCTTTTACCCTCTGCAGGTTTATCCTCCTTTCAGCATTTTTTTTTTTTTTTTATGACAGATTCTTTCACCCTTTGCAGGTTTATTATCCTCCTTTCTTTTTATGACAGATTTTTTACCCTCTGCAGGTTTATCCTCCTTTCAGCATTTTTTTCTTTTTATGACAGATTCTTTCACCCTCTGCAGGTTTATCCTCCCTTTCAGCCTTTTTTTCTTTTTATGACAGATTCTTTTACCCTCTGCAGGTTTATCCTCCTTTCAGCATTTTTTTTTTTTTTATGACAGATTCTTTTTCACCCTTTGCAGGTTTATCCTCCTTTCTTTTTTTTTATGACAGATTCTTTTACCCTCTGCAGGTTTATCCTCCTTTCAGCATTTTTTCTTTTATGACAGATTCTTTCACCCTCTGCAGGTTTATCCTCCTTTCAGCCTCTTTTTCTTTTTATGACAGATTCTTTTTACCCTCTGCAGGTTTATCCTCCTTTCAGCATTTTTCTTTTTATGACAGATTCTTTTTACCCTTTGCAGGTTTATCCTCCTTTCAGCATTTTTTTTTTTATGACAGATTCTTTTTACCCTCTGCAGGTTTATCCTCCTTTCAGCATTTTTTTTTTTTTATGACAGATTCTTTTTACCCTCTGCAGGTTTTCCTCCTTTCAGCATTTTTTTCTTTTATGACAGATTCTTTCTACCCCCTTTGCAGGTTTATCCTCCTTTCAGCCTCTTTTTCTTTTTATGACAGATTCTTTTACCCTCTGCAGGTTTATCCTCCTTTCAGCATTTTTTTTCTTTTTTATGACAGATTCTTTCACCCTTTGCAGGTTTATCCTCCTTTTTTTTTTTTATGACAGATTCTTTTACCCTCTGCAGGTTTATCCTCCTTTCAGCATTTTTTTTTTTTCTTTTCACCCTCTGACAGATTCTTTTTTTTCACCCTCTGCAGGTTTATCCTTTCAGTATTTTTTTTTTTACAGATTTTTATTTGCAGATTCTTTTACCCTCTGCACAGATTTTATCCTCCTTTCAGGCATTTTTCAGCATTTTTTTTATGACAGATTTTTTCACCCTTTGCAGGTTTATCCTCCTTTCTTTTTATGACAGATTCTTTTACCCTCTGCAGGTTTATCCTCCTTTCAGCATTTTTCTTTTTTATGGCAGATTTTTTTCACCCTTTGCAGGTTTATCCTCCTTTCAGCCTCTTTTCTTTTTATGACAGATTCTTTTACCCTCTGCAGGTTTATCCTCCTTTCAGCATTTTTTTCTTTTTTATGACAGATTCTTTCACCCTTTTCAGGTTTATCCTCCTTTCTTTTTATGACAGATTCTTTTACCCTCTGCAGGTTTATCCTCCTTTCAGCATTTTTTCTTTTTATGACAGATTCTTTCACCCTCTGCAGGTTTATCCTCCTTTTCAGCCTCTTTTTCTTTTTTATGACAGATTCTTTTTACCCACTGCAGGTTTATCCGCCTTTCAGCATTTTTTTCTTTTTTATGACAGATTCTTTCACCTTTGCAGGTTTATCCTCCCTTTTCTTTTTTCTTTTATGACAGATTCTTTTTTTTTTACCCTCTGCAGGTTTATCCTCCTTTCAGCATTTTTTTTTCTTTTTATGACAGATTCTTTCACCCTTTGCGGGTTTATCCTCCTTTCAGCCTCTTTTCTTTTTATGACAGATTCTTTTTACCCTCTGCAGTATATTTATCCTTTTCAGCATTTTTTATCCTCCTTTCAGCAGGTTTTTTTTTCTTTTTATGACAGATTCTTTCACCCTTTGCAGGTTTATCCTCCTCATTTTTTTTTTATGACAGATTCTTTTTTTACCCTCTGCAGGTTTATCCTCCTTTCAGCATTTTTTCTTTTTATGACAGATTCTTTACCCTCTGCAGGTTTATCCTCCTTTCAGCCTTTTTTCTTTTTATGACAGATTTTTCAGTTTATCCTCCTCAGCCCTTTTTTAAGGACAGATTCTTTTTACCCTCTTTTATCCTCCTTTCAGCATTTTTTTTTTTTGACAGAACTTTCACCCTTTGTTTATCCAGGTTTATCCTCCTTTTTTTTTTATGACAGATTCTTTTACCCTCTGCAGGTTTATCCTCCTTTCAGCATTTTTTCTTTTTATGACAGATTCTTTCACCCTTTGCAGGTTTATCCTTTTTCTCTTTTTTTATGACTGATTCTTTTACCTCTGCAGGTTTATCCTCCTTTCAGCCTCTTTCTTTTTATGACAGATTCTTTTACCCTCTGCAGGTTTATCCTCCTTTTCAGCATTTTTTCTTTTTTATGACAGATTCTTTTTACCCTCTGCAGGTTTTATCCTCCTTTTATGACAGATTTTTCTTTTTATGACAGATTCTTTTTTTTACCCTCTGCAGGTTTATCCTCCTTTTCAGCCTTTTTTCTTTTTTATGACAGATTCTTTTACCCTCTGCAGGTTTATCCTCCTTTCAGCCTCTTTTCTTTTTATGACAGATTCTTTTTTACCCTCTGCAGGTTTATCCTCCTTTCAGCATTTTTTTTTTTTCTTTTTATGACAGATTCTTTCACCCTTTGCAGGTTTATCCTCCTTTCAGCCTCTTTTTCTTTTTATGACATCTTTTACCCTCTGAGGTTTATCCTTTTCAGCATTTTTTCTGCAGGTTTATTCTTTTTTACCCTCTGCAGGTTTATTCCTTTCCTCTTTCAGCCTCTTTTTTTTTTTTGACAGATTCTTTTACCCTCTGCAGGTTTATCCTCCTTTCAGCTTTTTTTTTTTTTTTATGACAGATTCTTTTCACCTCTTTGCAGGTTTATCCTCCTTTTTTTTTTATGACAGATTCTTTTACCCTCTGCAGGTTTATCATCCTTTCAGCATTTTTTCTTTTTATGACAGATTCTTTCACCCTTTGCAGGTTTATCCTCCTTTCAGCCTCTTTTCTTTTCATGACAGATTCTTTTACCCTCTGCAGGTATATCCTCCTTTCAGCATTTTTTCTTTTTATGACAGATTCTTTCACCCTCTGCTGGTTTATTCTCCTTTCTTTTTATGACAGATTCTTTTACCCACTGCAGGTTTATCCGCCTTTCAGCATTTTTTCTTTTTATGACAGATTCTTTCACCCTCTGCAGGTTTATCCTCCTTTCAGCCTCTTTTCTTTTTATGACAGATTCTTTTACCCTCTGCAGGTTTATCCTCCTTTCAGCATTTTTTCTTTTTATGACAGATTCTTTCACCCTTTGCAGGTTTATCCTCCTTTCTTTTTATGACAGATTTTTTACCCTCTGCAGGTTTATCCTCCTTTCAGCATTTTTTCTTTTTATGGCAGATTCTTTCACCCTTTGCCGGTTTATCCTCCTTTCAGCCTCTTTTCTTTTTGTGACAGATTCTTTTACCCTCTGCAGGTTTATCCTCCTTTCAGCATTTTTTCTTTTTATGACAGATTCTTTCACCCTTTGCAGGTTTATCCTCCTTACTTTTTATGACAGATTCTTTTTCCCTCTGCAGGTTTATCCTCCTTTCAGCATTTTTTCTTTTTATGACAGATTCTTTCACCCTCTGCAGGTTTATCCTCCTTTCAGCCTCTTTTCTTTTTATGACAGATTCTTTTACCCACTGCAGGTTTATCCGCCTTTCAGCATTTTTTCTTTTTATGACAGATTCTTTTACCCTCTGCAGGTTTATCCTCCTTTCAGCATTTTTTCTTTTTATGACAGATTCTTTCACCCTTTGCAGGTTTATCCTCCTTTCTTTTTATGACAGATTCTTTTACCCTCTGCAGGTTTATCCTCCTTTCAGCATTTTTTCTTTTTATGGCAGATCCTTTCTCCCTTTGCAGGTTTATCCTCCTTTCAGCCTCTTTTCTTTTTATGACAGATTCTTTTACCCTCTGCAGGTATATCCTCCTTTCAGCATTTTTTCTTTTAATGACAGATTCTTTCACCCTCTGCAGGTTTATTCTCCTTTCTTTTTATGACAGATTCTTTTACCCACTGCAGGTTTATCCGCCTTTCAGCATTTTTTCTTTTTATGACAGATTCTTTCACCCTCTGCAGGTTTATCCTCCTTTCAGCCTCTTTTCTTTTTATGACAGATTCTTTTTACCCTCTGCAGGTTTATCCTCCTTTCAGCATTTTTTCTTTTTATGACAGATTCTTTCACCCTTGCAGGTTTATCCTCCTTTTTTTTATGACAGATTCTTTTTACCCTCTGCTCCTCCATTTTTTTCTTTTTTCAGCACCCTTTTTTTTCTTTTTTATGACAGATTCTTTCACCCCTCTGCAGGTTTATCCTCCTTTCAGCATTTTTTCTTTTTTATGACAGATTCTTTTACCCTCTGCAGGTTTATCCTCCTTTCAGCTTTTTTTTTTTTATGACAGATTCTTTTACCCTTTGCAGGTTTATTCCTTTTTTTTTATGACAGATTCTTTTACCCTCTGCAGGTTTATCCTCCTTTCAGCATTTTTTTCTTTTTTATGACAGATTCTTTCACCCTCTGCAGGTTTTTCCTTTCAGCCTTTTTTTTTTATGACAGATTCTTTTTACCCTCTGCAGGTTTATCCTCCTTTCAGCATTTTTTTTTTTTTTATGGCAGATTCTTTCACCTTTGCAGGTTTATCCTCCTTTCAGCCTCTTTTTCTTTTTATGACAGATTCTTTTACCCTCTGTAGGTTTATCCTCCTTTCAGCATTTTTTTTCTTTTTTATGACAGATTCTTTTCACCCTTTGCAGGTTTATCCTCCTTATTTTTTTATGACAGATTCTTTTTTACCCTCTGCAGGTTTATCCTCCTTTCAGCATTTTTTTTTCTTTTTTATGACAGATTCTTTCACCCTTTGCTGGTTTATCCTCCTTTCAGCCTCTTTTTCTTTTTATGACAGATTCTTTTTACCCACTGCAGGTTTATCCTCCTTTCAGCATTTTTCATTTTTTATGACAGATTCTTTCACCCTTTGCAGGTTTATCCTCCTTTCAGCCTTTTTTCTTTTTATGACAGATTCTTTTTTTACCCTCTGCAGGTTTATCCTCCTTTCAGCATTTTTTCTTTTTATGACAGATTCTTTCACCTTTTGCAGGTTTATCCTCCTTTCAAGTTTATCCTTTTCAGCATTTTTTTTTTTATGACAGATTCTTTTACCCTCTGCAGGTTTATCCTCCTTTCAGCATTTTTTTCTTTTTATGACAGATTCTTTCACCCTTTGCAGGTTTATCCTCCTTTCAGCATTTTTTTCTTTTTTATGACAGATTCTTTTTTACCCTTTGCAGGTTTATCCTCCTTTCAGCCTCTTTTCTTTTTTATGACAGATTCTTTTACCGTCTGCAGGTTTATCCTCCTTTCAGCATTTTTCTTTTTATGACAGATTCTTTCACCCTTTGCAGGTTTATTCTCCTTTCTTTTTATGACAGATTCTTTTACCCTCTGCAGGTTTATCCTCCTTTCAGCCTCTTTTCTTTTTATGACAGATTCTTTTACACTCTGCAGGTTTATCCTCCTTTCAGCATTTTTTTTTATGACAGATTCTTTCACCCTTTTCAGGTGTATCCTCCTTTCTTTTTATGACAGATTCTTTTACCCACTGCAGGTTTATCCTCCTTTCAGCCTCTTTTCTTTTTATGACAGATTCTTTTACCCTCTGCAGGTTTATCCTCCTTTCAGCATTTTTTCTTTTTATGACAGATTCTTTCACCCTTTTCAGGTGTATCCTCCTTTCTTTTTATGACAGATTCTTTTACCCACTGCAGGTTTATCCTCCTTTCAGCCTCTTTTCTTTTTATGACAGATTCTTTTACCCTCTGCAGGTTTATCCTCCTTTCAGCATTTTTTCTTTTTCTGATAGATTCTTTCACCCTCTGCAGGTTTATCCTCCTTTCAGCCTCTTTTCTTTTTATGACTGATTCTTTCACCCTCTGCAGGTTTATCCTCCTTTCTTTTTATGACAGATTCTTTTACCCACTTCAGGTTTATCCTCCTTTCAGCATTTTTTCTTTTTATGACAGATTCTTTCACCCTTTGCAGGTTTATCCTCCTTTCAGCCTCTTTTCTTTTTATGACAGATTCTTTTACCCTCTTCAGGTTTATTCTCCTTTCAGCTTTTTTTCTTTTTATGACAGATTCTTTCACTCTTTGCAGGTTTATCCTCCTTTCTTTTTATGACAGATTCTTTTACCCTTTACAGGTTTATCCTCCTTTCAGCCTCTTTTTACTTTTTATGACAGATTCTTTTACCCTTTGCAGGTTTATCCTTCTTTCACCCTCTTTTCTTTTTGTTGTGGATTCCGGGATGAAATCCGGTCTCAAATGAATGACAAACGCAGGAATGAAATATAGCAAATAAATGTATTGACGTAATAATACAATTGGTAATACGGTTAGTAGATCCAGAAATGCGGTTAGTAGCAATAATAATATATATACAGTCTGGGAAATTCAGTATCGAAGTAGGACTTCCTTCTGAGTCTACGTGCTTGCAACTGTGATTCCTACAATGCGGTTACCTGACACTCTCACTCTATCACTGTATCACTGTCACTCCCGGGTATTCACCGGCAGCAGTACAAGTACATACTGGGCGAGTCCACTTGTATACAAAGGGGTGGACCCCTTAACACCCCTCCTTAGATCCCTTTTAGGGGGAGTTAGTATTTTTTCTCTTATGGTCGATAACCAGAGGTTTGGTAATTTTTCTCTTCCTGTTTTAAATGATCTCTTGGGTACAATAGGTGCATACTGGTTTTTGTTCTTGTTTGGTAATACTTTGTCAAACACAGACTGTATTTTTACCTTCGTCCTCTGCATAAATTCATCCTTTTCCGCTTCTCTTCTTATCTCTCGCAAAGTCACAGGTAGTTCCTTTACTGCCTTGTATAACTCTTTACTGTTTTCATCTATGGTAGCAAATGGCACGTTTCGCTCCTTTTTAAAAACTGGTTGGACGTTTTTTTTAATTCGATTCTGGCCTCAAATTTGTTGCATCGTCCCAACCCGCTCGAAAATACCTCAGGAAATTGGTTATATAATTCTTCCTTTAACTTTATAGCATCTGATGGTTCAACCTCTAACTTTTTGCAAAAAGTGCTGATAGGTAGATCCCAAACGTTGAACTTTTGCATCCAGTCAATACCTACTAGATTTTCAGTATCTTTCATGACGTATATCTTAAGTTTTTTCGTTTTCCCTTGAAATTTAACATTCACGATTATTTCTCCTTTGAATTTTATTCGCTTGCCTGTAACCGACTTTGCAATTTTTTGTGTTGGTCTGTTAAGTTTTCTCCATATCGTGAGGTCGGAACCCAGATCCAGTTGCAATTTTATCTTTTTATTTAAAATTTCAAGTTCGACATATTTCCTTATGTTGGTGTTGTCTTCGCTATGCATCCTTATTGTACTAGTATCTTTTCTATTCCTACATTGGGATGCCTTGTGGCCCTTTTTCCACACTCAAGACAGTTTTTATATCTAAAGCGGCAATCCTTGTTCCAATATAGTCCTCCACATCGATAACATGTTGATGGCGGGGGGAGGCTCATATTTGCTTCGATTTTCATCATAATTTGCTCTGTATGTTGTACTTTTCTCTTATTATAGAATTTTTGTTTTCTTTCTGGGGAGGGTGAGAATCTTTTTTCATTATTATAGAATTTTTGTTTTCTTTCCGGAGATGGTGAAGAACGTAGAGTTTTGTTTAACTTACGTATATGAGATACAGCTGACTCCTCAATGTCTTTCGCGTCTTTCTTTTTCTTAGGCATCTCTGGCAATCTTCCGATAATTGTTGTACTGTTAGTCCCGGTTCATTTTGTAATTTTGAAAGCATTCTTTTACGAATTTCGCTATCTTTTGTTGAACAAAGATGATACATTTGAAATTGTCCGGGGTTAATTCCGCTAGTTTGAAGTCGTCGCAATGTTTTATTTGCGATTGCGGCAAACGTGGAATAATCTTCATTATCGCCCTTTACCAGGTTAAGGCATTTCCACCTCCTGTGGAAGAGTGATGTTTTCGGGCTGAAAGAGTTCTTTAAGACATGTCACTGCTTCGTCAAATGTTAATTCGTTCGTCTTTTTTGGCAAGATATAATCCACGAACTTTGTATATTCTTCAGTTCCTAATTTTCTAAGCAATTTGTTGTGGACGAGGGGAGGATTTTTCTATTTCTTCTTCTCGTATGAGTTCGAATCGCTCGTCGCCAATTTGTTGTGGACGACGAGGGAAAATTTTTTGTTGTTTTTTCTTCCCGTGTGAGTTCGAATCTTCGTCGCCAATTTATTGTGGACGACGAGGGAAAGGTTTTGTTGTTTTTTCTTCCAATGTGAGTTCGAATCTTCGTCGCCAATTTGTTGTGGATTCCGGGATGAAACCCCTTAACACTTTTTATAACAGATTCTTTTACCCTTTGCAAGTTCATACGTTTTTATTAAGTCTCTTCTCTTTTTATGACTGATTCTTTTCCCTTTACAAATTTATCCCTTTTTCACGCTTCTCTCTTTTTATGATAGATTCCTTTCCACTTTGCTGGTTCATTCTTTTTTCAGTCTCTTCTCTTTTTATGACAGATACTTTTACCTTTTTCAAATTTATCCTCCTTTCATTCTTCGGCGATTTGTGTGTATTTTCATTTTTATTTCTCTTCTTTTTTATCTTCATATGTTACTTCTTTTTCATTGCTTTTACTCATGGCTTTGTGTATTAGTCTTTCTTATTACTATTTCCATTTGTTTGGCTTATCATATCTGCTGCAATTATAATTGTCATTTCTGTAATTATATCTTGTTTGCAATTTCCATTTTCGTTAAAGTCTTGGATCAGTTTTTGATTTTGTTTGGAATTCTGTGATAGTCACTCCGATATTATAAAGAAAATTCTCTTTTTGAGAAATGTTACTTTGGACTATTCTAGGATAACTTCGTATATAATCTTTGCTTTTTAAAAATTTTACTGTCTTTGTTAGCGATTATGAAAGAAATTTAATTTTTCATTTCCCCATTTTGCCTTTCCAAATTCATTTACGTGATCTTCGAGATTGAACAAATTTTTTCTGAAAAGCTAGCAAATATTTCGACTTTCCCATGTAAATTATCCTATACTTCAAAATTTCTTTTTTCTTTCGTTAATTTGAAAATGATGCATGTGTTTTGCGCTATGCTCATTATGTCATGACATCTAAAATCATCTTTTCAAAATACTTATCATTATCTAAATTCTCCTTTTCTATGCCATCGACCACTACAACCTTTTCTAAGTAACTTTTCTTCTTTTATTATCCCCTCCCCTTTTATTCTTCATCTACTATCCGTCCTTTCAAATGTAAGTTACTCTGTTGTTTTCCAGCTTTCTTGGTTTTCACTTTCTTCTTTGAATGTTAAGTTTTCCAAACCTTATTTCTTTATTATGTGTCCCAGAATCTTCATTTATCTCTTTCTGATTATTAACAGCTATTTACTTGCAGTTGCTGTTCTCCTTAAAATTTCCTTGTTGCATGTTCCGTCCATAATATTCACAGCATTCGACGGTAGAACCATATCTTTGTCATTTTAAGTTTATTTTTCATCGGTGAAGAGATTGTCTAATATTCAGTGCCATATAGGAGATTATTACATAGTATTTCATTACTCTTTATCGTTTGTAAAATTATTTTCCTGTCTCATAATACTGTGCTTAATTTCTGAAAGGTACCTTTCGCTATTCATATGAGCCTTTGAATTTCTGTCACATTTCCTTAAATCTGATAAAATACTCAGTTAATTTTTTTATATCTAATATATTTTGACATCCCAATAAGTAACTCCCACTATTGGTTCCCTCTTTGTTGACAACCATAAATTTTACTAATCACAGTTAACGTCCAATCCTTGCTTCGTGGTTACTTTTACTACCATGTCAAATGGCTCTTTTACTTGTCTGTTTGTTCCGCCTACCATCAACACAGTGTCTTCTGCATATCGTACGTTGTTAAGATTATATTCACCATAATAATTATAAGAAAACGCGCATGGTTTTCTAGTTCTTTTTTATTAGTCTCGCTATACAGCTTAAATAAATACGACAGAAAAAAGCATCCTTTCTATTTTTGTGTATTGACTGAATTAAATAAACTCATTTTCTGTTTGCATGTAAACTGTTTGCTCCCGGGTTACGGACTACACGAATTTCTTTCCCACATAAATTAAAGATTTTCTTATACTTGAAGTAGTTTTCCGTGTTGCAAGCTATTGAACACCATTGCGTAATCTATGAAATATAATTATAAAGTTTTTTCTGTATTTCTATTGCTCGTTCTAATAACATTTTAATAATTAAAATAGAATTTCGTGATCAAATATCTTAAATAAAGCCACACCGTTCTTGTCATATTTCCGGTTTAATTCTGTTACGAGCTCTATTCATTAGTATCCTAATTATTAGTTACCAATCAGTTTTCCGATGGAGTGTTCTTTCGTTTGTCAATGGTTTCTTTGGAAGGGTTATGAAGATAGATTTAGTGATACTCTCTCTGATATGATATAAGTCTGATATGATATATGATATGATATAATATGAAGATAGATTTAGTGATACTCTGTCTGATATGATATAAGTCTGATATAATATATGATATGATATAATATGAAGATAGATTTAGTGATACACTGCATGACAGTATATGATATGCCTGATATGGTATAGTATGACGATAGATTTAATATTACTCTGATATGATATAATATGAACATAGATTTAGTGATACGCTGTCTGATATAGACTGGAAAGGTTTTCCGTTGGTCGAATTAACTAAAATCCATACGTCACTAATTCTGTTTTCCTTTATAATAAAGCTGATGGTTGCTTAACATTTAGGCATAAGGTCTTTCCTTTTATGTGAATCTACGGTCATTTTAAAATAGGAACAAAACAATTTCAATGTATACGTGTACGCGCACAGCCGCACATAACCACCTACCTCCCCACAATAAATACGACTCACCAGGCACATCTGCACACATATATGCACGTATACAGGGACATAGAACCGTACACATCCAAAGCCGCACGGACCTGGTCCCACACACCGATATACAACCACACTACTCATAAACACATGAACATGCATATATACAACCCCGAACACACACACACATGCAAAACACACGCATACATACACCACACACATACACG